CTGATTGTTTTCAAGAAAACATTCACTGATTTTTAAAGGACAGCAACTAATGCAGCATTTCAAACTATTTTACAAGTCAAAGAAATAGCTCTGTGGCCCCCAAAGAAACTGTAAAACTCTCCCTTAAAGATGTCCCAACCACTCCCCCCACAACCCTAAGGAATTATGATGGCGGACATGGCACAGAGAAATCATACTGATCCCAGAATGACTCTCCTGTCCTGTCTGCAATTTGAGTCCCTAGACGAGCCACTGCAAGCTGACATTCAAACACACTGGCCAGCAGTGTAACTGAAAATCACCCAGAGAATACTATGTCACAAGGAGCTGAAGTTTCCACGGCCCACAACGTAAATGAGGAAGGGACCGTTTTTCTCTAAACAGATGTATCTCCTAGTAAACTGCACGTCACAGTGAGTCAGGGAAAAAGAAACAGCCTTGCCTCACTGTGGCAGTTCGTTGTCCTGTCCCTCAGAAGGTATCCCTGCCCTCATTGGTGATCAGCTTCGGAAATTCTTCCTGATGCCCTAAAACTTAGTCAGTGATCAACCAAAGAAATCAAGAGCTTCCTCTGAGAATGCCTCGCTAAGGGAATGAATCCTCTTCCACTTCCCTCTATAACCCTCTCCAGAAATTCTGCTGTCACACATATACTTTTTAAATTATCTGCAGGTATTTGTGCAGCTGTATCCAGGAAAAAAGCTAATTTGTCTAAAATTCTTTTTTTAAGTTTCCAATTTCCAGCTTCAAATATTGTATTTTTGAATTTCACCTGAGCATGACATTAGCTTTTATTTTTAGCATTAATTTCACTATAGTCTATGATGGTATGTTCTATTGGTAACTCTTAGTTAGAGGTTTCCAAGGCTCTCAAAAGAACAAAATATTTTTATGTATGATGCAGTGTTTATGGAAAGCAAAAAAAAAAATAATAAAATATATTCAAATTAATTAGAACAAATTTTAAAATGAAGCCCAAGGAATTCAATGTAATACAATGTGAACAAATAATAATAGTAATAAAATCCTACATATCTTTGTGAGCCTATTTATTAGCTTATTTTGTTTTACAGGTGGACCAGGTTAGCAATGTTTTCCCTTTTTTCCCAAATTTAGATGGGAAATTTGAGACAGAGAAACATTAACTTTCCACTCTACCCTCAAAAAATAGCTAACGCCCACCGACTGCCTTCGTCCTCTACTAGGTGGTCATCAGTGAACTGCAGCTGGTTTCCTATGTCACCTCTTCTTCCCCTACAATCCCTGCTCCCCTTGGCACCCAGAGTAATCTCTTAAAAAATATAAATCCATTAAGTCAACACCTGTGCCTTGAACTCTCTTTTGGTTTGTTACCCCACTTAGAATAAGACCCAAAGCGCTTAGCTTGGCCTATGAGGCTGTGTGTGACCAGCCAATGCCTCTCAATCTCACTCCTCCACACTCCCCCTCTCCTCACCTAATTGCAGCCACAATGGCCTCCCAACTGTGCCTCCAACATACCACTTGTCTCCAAGGTCTGGACGTGAACACTTGTGGTTTCCTCTGCTGGAATAATCATCCACCTTCCTAGGGTCTCATTTTAAAGCTATCTCTCAGAGAATTCAAGAATCCAGCCCCTCCCACCTGTCCGACACACACACCCACTCACACACACTCTCTTACAAAACAACACTCTACCACAGCCCTTTGCTTGCTTTTGCTTTTCTTCAAAACGTTTTTCACTATACAGATCACCTTGCTCAGCCCTGTCTCTAGAATATGAACATTCTATCAGAGCAGAGGGCATATCTGTCTTACTCCCTGCCCTACACTCAGTGCCTGGCACATAAGAACTGCACCATAAATACGTATTTTCTGAAACCAATGGAATGAATGAACCCAGCTCCTTCTAGGAGCCAACCAGCCCACTTAATTCAATGAATATCCATTCTTATAGTAATTTTTTTTCTCTCTCCTCAACTACTATATTTTAAAACAAAAACCTACACACCTATAATTATTAGCCTGTTTCTATTAGTGTGTTATGAGTCACTCCCCTAAAACTGAGCACAGTGCCAGTGCCCCGTCTGTAACAGGTGACTGGCTTCACAGGGAAAGGCACTAAGAACCCACTGATATGCCCTCAAGCCACAGAGCTGCCCCAGAATTCTGGAATAAGGTAATTTTAGAACATTTGCCTCTTCAATTTCTTGTCACTCAATACTTTTTCTTTAAAGCTTTATTTACCTTCATAGAAATTTCTCAACTTTTTGAGGGTTCAGTCAGGCTCATTATCATAGATCTTGGGGGGAAAAGCAGGCTTAACATGAATCGCAGTATAAATAACCCGATAATCGCCTTTCTTTCCAGGAACTGTCCATCTTCTGGGATGTCAGGGAAAGGATCATGGATTAAGAGGACCCCTAAATTCCATCTGACCTTCCCAGGGCTCCCACTCCAGTTATTGGGGGACCCCTTTGGCACTTTTCTAAATGGTCTATGCTAAGAGGCCCCCAGAGGGTGATTAATAATGTTCTGCAAACGTGACTGGATGAGGGATGTGGTGGTATCCGTGGCTGTTCCCACAGCTACAGTACAAGGTGCACAGAGAAACAATGGGGAGGAAAGGAGGACCCAGCTGCCTGGTTAGGTTTGAGGGGAAAGCCCTGCGTGTTGAGCAAGCCCTGCACACCTCAGAGGGATTTCTCAACAAGGAGTGGCTGAACCAGATTATCATCCTCCCGACTCTGCTCCTTCCTCAGCCTCTGTGGCATAACTGGCAGCCACAGTCCGGGGGGAAAAAACTGAAAAAGGAAGGCCCAAGTCCATGAAGAGCATCATCACCCCCGCAGCAGCTTAGGGAAGGCACCCTCAATGCCAAGGGCAAGGAGCAGGCCCGCTGGGAAAGGCCAAGCCGCGGGCTCTCTCACCACCTTCTGTTAGGCGGCAGGTTTTTTCCCTCTGTGAAGAGATCGGCCTGGGTGCCAGCAGCTCAGCAGTGCCCTTGGGCCAAAAGCTTCTTGGTCCAGGCCTGTGCATAATGCCTATGTCCCCGAATTCAATGCCAGCCCCAAATTTGGTCTGGAGCCTCTTGGGATTGCCGGAGCCTCAGGGGATACATTTTCCAGCTCCTCCTCATACATCCGTCTCCCCGCTCAGCATTCTTATTTGGGTCAAAGGTAATTTGTGCGAGATTGATTTGTTAACACGCCCGTCCCAAACCTGAATCTGCGTGCCCTTTACAGGGAGCAAGCGCCCACTTAGGAGCCACAAGCCCCTCTCCTCCCCACCTCACCACCTCCGCAGGGCTCCCAAGAACCACAGGCATCAGTGAAAGCCTGAACTTTTCATTTTTCCCGACAGAAAGTTCTAATAGCAGGTCCATGATACGATGAGCTAGACGATGTTTTTCTGTTTCCTAATTTTGCTGATTTTTAAAAAACCGGACCTCGTCCTTGACTCCGAGTGGAACAGCCCTGATTTTGTCCCGCCAGCTGCAGGGGCGCCCGGGCGGGGAGGTATTGCTTTGATTGGTTCCCACGGATGACTCAGAACCCGGCTCCAAAGCTCTACAGGGGGCACGTGTGTCTCTTCCGGTAGGAGACCCACTGATGAGAAAGCTCTGTGCTCCCTGTCCCCCTGGCCTGAGTCTCCCCCTCAGCTCCGAATTGTTAGGAAAAGGTTCGGGAGAACCGGGTTCGAATTCTATCACCTACCCCGCAACGATCCCAGCGCTGCTTCTCAGGCCGGACGGGCGGTGAGCCCAGGACCGGCCCCAGGGCTCACCGCGGCCGGTCGGTCGCCGCTCCCGGGGCGCGGCCTCCCGCGCGCGGCTGTGCCGCCGGAGCCCAGCGCGCCCACGCGGTCCTCCGGGTCCCGCCGGCCCCTGCCCCTCCTCACCCGGGCGCTGCGCGGAGCTGCTGGGGCGACCGGGGTCCCTGGGCACGATCCGCTGCGCTCCGACGGACCCGAACCCGCCAAACCCGACTGCTCCTCGCCGCCGGCACCGCGGGCCTCTGGCCAGCCGCCGTCACCGTGGTCGCGGGGCGGCTGGGCAGCTCCGGCGAGCAGCGGGCGGGTGGGCTGTGCCCTGGGCCCGCCCAGCGCGGCCTCCTCGCCAGACCCCAGCGCCGCGGGGAGGAGCCGGGGAGGAGCGTGCGACCGCCGGCCTCCAGCGAGCAGCTGCGACCCACGGGCCTGAGCGTGCTCGGGAGCACCCTGTGTCCTCTCCAGGACCGGGTCCCGCAGCCGGGCCCCGCGGGTTACTGTAGCAGCCCCGACCCAGATGGATCCGCACGGTGCCGCGGCGGAGCGGTGTTCCCGGTTCCTGCTCTCACACCTGACTCTGATCAGATCTGTCTGTTCCCTGCGGAATTCACCCCACCTCAAACTCATTTTGCTTGTCTCACTATGTTCTCTAAATTCACTACGTTTCTCCGAGTCCGTCTGCGCATTCCGTGCTCCGGTACACCACGCGGGGTGCCCATTCAGAAGTGGCGCGGACTCTGCTCGGGATTGGAAGGCCTGCCCCGCAATCAGAGCACTCGGAAATAGTGCTTCATATTTAGGGGAAACCGTTGTTGGAAAGGGTCATCTTACAGCTCCGTTTAACTCAAAGTTATTTGGGGTTTAATGCCCTCCTTCATTTTCCAGTGTTTGCTTCTCAATCCACTCCAACGATAAATTAAGAAGCATTCATTTATAACGTCAGCTAGAAACTCGGGCAAAGTAGTTTGAGGTTTATGTGTGCTGTTACTAAAAAGTTTATATTTTAAAAGCAGTTTGTTTCTTGGCGAGGTGCCAGAACTGGAAAAGAAATCTTATTTGTTTTATTTTGACCTTACTCAGCAGTGAGAAGGCGTGGGTGGTAGCTAGTTTCTCCTATGTAAGCGATGTGACATTGGGCAAGTTCTTCATCTCTGCTTCTCAGTATACTCATCCGTACAGTGGAGATAACCAAACTCAGTCTGTCAGAGGCTTTGTGAGAATGAAGTGCAAATACTTAGGAAATGGTTAGGACAGAGCCTGACGCATGGGAAACACCAGATACTAACAGCTGTAAAGAAGCTTTTCCTTATTTAAACCTAACAACAGATAAAAGTTTTAAAAAACGACATCAGTCTAATACCATTTTCCTGTACTTTATAAACTAACTCACTGTTAAACAAAATGCCCCAGAATATTAATCTAAAAGAGCACGCCCTACCAAAAAGGCCCTCTTTTGCTTCCCCTTATGACCAGATGAAGTTAGAGATTCCATACCACACCTAAAAAAGTGGTGGGCTTTGAGGACAGGTCTTGAGAACAAGTGTGAAATAGTTTATTCACTTCTCTTATTGCCAGCAATAAGAGCTCCCATTGTTATCGGATCATATTTTCTGAGGGGAATTCCACAGTGTTTGACATTAGGCGATTAGTGCCTTAAGAAAATGCCCTCAAGTGCCTTGAGAAGTACTTTGAGAAGGGTAAGGTGTCCAGTTATAGCAAATAACAATGCAGGACACTCAGTTAAATTTGAATTTTAGATAAACAATAAATAGCCTTTTAGTATAAGTGTCCTATGTACTATTTGGACCATTTGTACACTAAAAAATTATTTGTTGTTTACCTGAGATTCAAATTTAACTGAGTATCCTGTATTATATCTGGTGACCCTAATAAATGGAATTAATAAAGAATATTCTTCACATTCCAAAAGGACAAGTCAACTCGGGCATACAGATTAAAGTGAGTCTGGCCAGACTCACTTTAATAATTATAAGCATGCTTATAATCCTAGCATTCTAGGAGGTCAAGGTCAGAGGATCCCTTGAGCTCAGGAGTTCAAGACCAGCCTGAGCAAGGTAGGGCAGGGTATGTAGCAGGGGTGATATGGAGCTTCACATCTCTACTAAAAATAGAACTAGCTGGGTATTACAGTGGGTGCCTGTGGTCCCAGCTACCAGGGAGGCTAAGGCAGAAGGATTGCTTGAATCTAGGAGTTTGAGGTTGCTGTGAGCTAGGCTGGTGCCATGGCACTCTAGCCCAGGCAACAGAGGATGCAAATACATACAGACATAAGTCTGCTATAGGTTATGTTTCAGTTTTATAAAGCAAAGAAAAAAATAATGTCGTTGTTTTTATGAGTTGATTCTTTGTTGAGCTATTTCTTACCTCTTACTTTCTATTCCCACTTCTCACCAACACAGCAGTGCTGATTTACTATTAATATGAGTAAAAGTGATGGCCCTTCCCTTCAATCAAGATATTGGATTAAATTGTAACAATGTGAGCGGCGCCTGTGGCTCAGGGAGTACCGGCGCCAGCCCCATATACTGAGTGTGGCAGGCTCAAACCTAGCCCCAGCCAAACTGCAACAAAAAAATAGCCAGGTGTTGTGGTGGGCACCTGTGGTCCCGGCTGCTGGGGAGGCTGAGGCAGGAGAATTGCCTAACCCCAGGAGCTGAAGGTTGCTGTGAGCTGTGACACTACAGCACTCTACTGAGGGCGATAAAGTGAGACTGTCTCTTAAAAAATTGTAACAGTGTACTCAGTGTTTTTTAATTCCAATAGCATTTACTAAAGGACAACTCTATGGCAGGTACCATTTCAAGGAGGATAAGGAAATAGCAACATAAAGCGCCACCCTGTGTAGGCAAACACAGAGGAATGTGGGAGTTCAGCAAAGTGAAGTTAATTGTCTTGGGAAAGGTGTGGGCATCGAGGACACCCTCATTGTATGGGACCCAAAGAAAAGTGGCTCTAACTGAAATGAGCAGAAGAGGGAAGTCCCAGCATGGCAGCCATCTATCCTGATTGGGGTAAAGAGACTGGAGGAAAAAAAAAAAAATGGGATTCAATAAAACTGAAAGTATGACTCAGAACTTGGACTCTTGAGGCTATTAGAAGATGTCAGAATGTAAAGAAAAACATTCAGCTTAAACTATTTCAATTTAAAATCCAAAGTTAAAATTAAAACTAAGAACTCCAGGGGGGAAAAGGTCCAGGAAAAGCCTGACATAAGTGTGATGTAACCTCAGTGGAGATATTGAGCCACCTGTGGTGTCTCAAACAGGAGACACCATTTAAACCTGAAATCCAAGAATGTTCTCTGAATGGCCCAGAGCAGGAGCTCTGATGACAGCACTCCACTGCATTGCAGGGAACAACATTCACGTGGCCTAAGCATGGAAACACTGCTTATTGGTTTCCAGCTTTTGGAATCACCTTATAAACAAGCGAAAGACTATTTCACTATGACTATACAAGAGAATGTAAAATTATTCATGCTTTGAATGCACAAGTATAATAAAAGTTGATAGGTAGAAGGGGGAAGGAGTGGAAGCAGGGTAGACAGAAGGTTGGGTTACAAAGCTTCTGGAAATACTATCTAGTTGGCAGAAGTGGGTGGAAAGGTGTGAGTTTGCATAGGTGAGAGCATGAGCATAGAGATGTGTCTCTAGACATTAGGGAGGAGAAAAGATAAGCCCAGTGCTCATGTGAGCTGAATCTTCATATTTCCTAGGAGAAAGTAGATAGACAGGGCCTACGAAGATAAACCATAAAATGAGGAGTTAGCACGTTATTTTAGAAGGATGGCGTTAACCACCGGAAATCTAAAAAGAGAAACCATGAAAAGTTTGGAGAATGACATGAGCACTGTGGCTGGGGTTGGGAGGGCTGAGGTGGGAGACGCTTACTTTCTTTTTTACTACTTCATTGTTACTGTAACTGTTTGGACCATGCCCATGAATGCATTGATTAAATATTAAAAACTTTTTCAGATACAGAAATCTGTGGAAAGGAAGGATGTACCAAGACAAGGTCTTTCAAGAATGAATAGAGAATTTCTGGAAGAAGGAAAATGTGTTCAACAGAATGTGGAAGCTCGTAAGCAAATGCCCAGGGGCCTAAAAGCGAATGACATGCCTTAGGAATGTCAGCTTCTCCATTGGGGTCGCCAATGCATTAGATACAGGGACAGAACAGAGAAAAAGTAAGGATGAAAAGGTGAGTTTGCTACTAAAAGTGTCCTCTGGGTAAAGCGACAGAGTTTGGACGCTGAGCAGCTGGAGGACGGAAGCCCTGCCATTGTTACTCCCCTGTATTCAGTCCAGAGCCCAGACACAGAACGTGCAGAGCACGACATGTGCTAAAGAAAAGAAAATGAGGGAATTGATGGTTATTTGAAAAGACAGCAGTTTTTGCTAGTTAAGATGTAATAGTCATATTGCTAGAAATCTAAACAAAACAGAAAAAAATAGAACATGCGGGTTGCCCTGAAACCCCAACCTCATTAGAAAATTACTTAACAGTTTGGTACATATCTTTCAGAGACTGTTCTAGACATAAGCACAGTGATTAAGAGGGCAGGGTCAGACAATCCAGCTCTACCTGTATTACTTCTAAGCCCCCGGGCAAGTTATGTCGCCCTTTAACCCCTCAGTTTCCTAATCTGTAAAATGGAAATAATAGCAGCGCCTATGTCATGGAGTTGTAGTGAGGATTAAAAGGAATAATAGATGTAAAAGAAATAATTCATGAAAAAGGCTCAGAACAATGTTTGACAAGCAGAGTGAGTGCTTGATAGATGCTATTAATGCACACACATATGCTATGCCCAGTTTATACATATATATGTTATATATACATATATATGTTATTTTATATACATATATGGGTTTTCATCCATGGTTCATGGCTCGTAACTCCCATAGCCCTTGTTAAAGTCTTTTGTTATAAGGCACTTTAGGCCTCAGGAACAGGCACTGGGAAACAGAATCTCTCTCTCTCTGAACTTCTCCTGTCCTTCTTTCACCTGCCCAAGGTAGGACTCTAATCTGATTATTGATCAAAGGACCTTCATGCCAGAGAGGGTCCTGCTCCATACCCTAGAGAGGAAGCAATGCAACATAGAGGCCAAGAAAAGTCTAGAAAGGCCTTGCTGGGTTCACATTGGTACTTTTTGTCCAGTCATATCTCTACATGGTTGTCAATCATGCGTATATAACAAAGCCACCACAAAACCCCCAAAGACAGGGATTGGGGGGTTTCTAGATAGCTGAATATGCAGAGGGTCCAGAAGGGTGGCATCTCTGGGAGGGGCAGGGAAACTCCTCGCCGCCCCTTCCCCATACCCTGCCCTACACAGCACTTCACCTGTATCTTTTGTTATATCCTTTGTAGTAAACCAATAAGTAAGACCTTCCCTGGGTTCCGTGAGCTGCTCTGGTTAATCAAAAGCCACTGGTTGATCAAAGGTTCCAGAGGCCTAGACTTGTGACTGGTATCTAAAGTGGGGGGCTGGGGAGAGACAATTTGAGGATTGAGCGCTCATTTAGTGAGATCTAATATAATCTCTAGGTAGACAGTGTTGGGATTAAATTAGAGGACACTTGTGGGTGGTGCCTGTGGCTCAAAGGGGCAGGGCGCCGGCCCCACACACCAGAGGTGGCGGGTTCAAATAAATAATAAATAAAATAAATAAATAAACAAATTAGAGGACACTCATTTGGTGTCCATTACAAAACTGCTGCTCCCTTGGTGGTGGGGAGAACTTCCCTAACACACCTTTAGTCACAGAAGTCTTCTTCCATGTTGATGAATGTTGTGGTGTAAAAACAAACAAAACAAAACAAAAAACATGGTTTGAGTTTTTCTGAAACACATGCACATAAATTATACACATACGGACAGATATTTTACATACACAAGTAAATACCTGTAGGAGAGATAAGATAATCCATCTACATATGAATATGTATATGAATAACTGGAAAGAACTAAAAATTACCGGGGATGGGTGGGTTGGAAGGAACTCCCAGGGCACAGTGGCAGAAGTAGGGAAGGAGACTATCATGGTCAGAGGCGGGAACTTGGGAGCCAAGAGCTCAGAGGTGAGGCACGTCCAGAGGACAGCAGGTCCAGCATAGCCACGACTCTAAGTTTCTGAAAGAGAGAAGACGAAGCATCGTTTATGCAGTGTTTCAGCCAGTTCCAAAATGTATTACCCAGGGCCAGGCTCAGCCTTCATTCCTCATTGGCAGTGGATACGGTTTACTTAGGGTCCCTATACAATCCTGGCTGTCACAATGGCCTTGTTTGTATGCACTCGGTATCTGGTTTTTACCATCTGGCTTGCCTAACCGGGCTCTAGGCCATTTTCCTTACTCCAATCATTAGTAACACCCCTAACTAACCTCAGTCAAGATGTAGGAGGTATTACGTTGTGCTAGGTCCAAGCCTCCCATGTTTTTTCAATGGCACTATGTATGATTCAGTCACCCAGATCCTTTATCTGGTTGCTGAGTCATTTGATTCTACATGCACAGTGTCATCGGCCTTTCCTCCCTTCTCTACTCAAGGCCCTCAAAAGCTCTACCCTGGGCAATTATGAAATGATTTTTTTTTTTTGCTTACACAAGTTAGACATGTTTGTTATAGAAACAAATAGTATTTGTTGTTAACACTGAAATTATTTGTCCTTTTTATAGGTCCTATTTCCACCTAGCAACCTAATACGAACATTTTACCAGGCCAGTCAACCCACATCTACAGCATTAGTTCAAAAGACTGCTAGTGGAAATTGGGATTGTTTGTAACATTTGATTTTTGCAATGGCACTTCAGTGAATAGCCTTGCCGTTAAAACCCTGCACATGTTTTTAATTGTCCTTGTGATTAATGCCTAGAAATGAATTTTCTGAGTTAGAAAAGATGGGCATTTTTTTTTTTTTGCCTTCTCTTTCCCCTTCCTCCTAGGTGTCCTTCAGCCCCAGAATACATTTTACATTCTCGTGGCAAAATTACTTCTCTAAAAGTGATGGCCTTGTAATTATTTTACTTCCTCATTCAGAAACTGTCGGTGTTTTCCATTGCACACAGGGAGAAATCAAGTCCAGATGTCCTGACATGACAGTTGTGGCCGTCCAGGATCTGGCTGCAACCTCTTTTTCATTCAAGTCTCCCACGTTCCACTGCCTGTATGTTCAGCCATTCTGGACTTTATGCTGTGGCATCCCCTTTGCTGACATAATTCCTACTTCATTGGCCCAGGTCCTGGCAGCAAGCAGGTAGCATGCTCACACTGCATGATTTGATGAGTGTTTAATAAGGGGTCTGTGGACAAAGGGGAAGGAAAACATAGGGAATCCAACAAGGCATGGTGCAGTCCCTTTACGCGGACCACACGGGAGAACACTTAACTCACGGGCTGGAAGGAGCAAGCAGAGAAAACGGGGGCTGGGACCTGGTGAGGTTAACTCTATGGAGAAACCCCCCTGACAGGGGCCGTGACCTTCACAGCAAGCCCATGGCAGCCATGTAGGAAGGAAGCCAAGGGACTAAATATTTCAACCCCATCCTCTACCTACACTCCATTTTCCTGCTGGAAATTATTCAGGCCCAACTGGAAGCCAGCAGCACCAGAGCCCATGGGTGCCATCCATACAGCTCAGCTTCCCAGAATAGTGGAGAGTGGATCTGGCCAGACAGATGGTGGAGTCCGGCACACCTACTGCTCCCTAAATGCCAATCTTAAAGAGCTTTTGTGCCTCTCTTGCTCTCTATCACATTATTGCACAATATCTTACTTCCTCAACTAGATTAATAGCTCCTTATGGAGAGATGTGGTGTTTTTTGTACATGTGGTCAAATTCTCAAGAAATCGTTGCTGTGAATTTATCCCCCAAAAGGGGCCCTTCAAAGTAATTGACACAGGGACAATAGGTCCACAGAAAAGATAGTATGCTTGGACAAGGGCTGCCAGGTAGAAAAGACGTGAGTTCATGGCAGGAACACAGAGCACTTTCGTAGGTCCTATCCAGGAGTTAGTGTACAGGGCAGTGACACAACCTACCTTCAGGTTGTGAAGCACACAGCAGAGGCTGAGAGGAGTGCCTCATCTAGGTCTCATAATATCTTTTTTTTTTGTTTGTTTCCTCATCCATTTTATTTCTTTTTGTTAATATATACTTTTTAATTAAATGATAGCTGTATACATTAATGCAAAATGGGGTACAGTGTTGTGTTTTCATATACAATTTGAAATATTTCCATCAAACTGGTTAACATGGACTTTGTGTCATTTACTTAGTTATTGTGTTAAAACATTTATACTCTAATTCTAGAAAAGTTCACTTATACTCTAATTCTAGAAAAGTACCCTTGTTAGACAGACCATATAGGTGATCTTCCTAGTCACCCTCCCACCACCCATCCACCCTTCTCTCCTCCTCTCCCCCACCCCCTCCTCATATTCTTAGGCTAGAATTAAGTTGTAGCTTTCATTTAAGAACTATAAATTAGTTTCATAATAGGGCTGCGTACATTGGATACTTTTTCTTCCATTCTTGTGATACTTTGCTAAGAAGAACATTTTCCAGTTCCATCCATGTAAACATGAAGGAGGTAGGTCTCATAATATCTTAAAGGAGCCATGGCACACCTGGAAATCCTAACCCCAACAATAGGATTTCCCAAACTTCCCCATGAACTGGTACACACCTCCAGCTCATCTGGATCCTAGGTCAGCACCTCCCTCTTCTCCATTCTGATTCAGAGGTGGTCCGAGATGTCATCCATGGCCTCCTTTCTGACTAGGAGCCCCTGTGACAGCCCCTGCAAGGTGCATATAGACAGAGGGGAACAGATGATCCAGCATTCCAAAGGGAACCCAACTCTTTCTCCCTGTCCCAGATGCAGGCAGACCTGGGACACCTCTCCATACCCTCCCCCCAAATCTGAGCTGTGTTAGTCACACTGTCAGGCACTGAGTTTGAGCAGTACTCGTAACCTAAATTCTCAACGGGAAGTAGAGATACTTGTTCTAAGTCTGAGCAAACCCTCTGAGCATTGGTTTCCTTGCCTCCAAACTATCTATAGTTCAGGTTTGGTGTTAAGATTGAGGAGATAACAGCCACAAAGCTCCTAGAACGGTGCCTGAAATACAATATAATATAAATACAATACAATACAATATAAATAGGCATTTAATAAATATTCCACTCTCTT